TTTAATTATTAAAATTACGTCTATCTTAGGATAGTTTTCATAAACTTCTAAGTTTTATTCCTTGATGCAAAAAGATGTGTATAAGAGACAGATATATCCCTATTCCAATGGAAAAAAAATTGTACAAAGAACAGTTACCATTATTAAAAATACAAGTTTTTAATAACCAAATATATATCAGTCAAATATTAGAACAGAAAAATTAACAGCTTTAATATTATAAAATATAAATTTAATAAAAATAAATGGCAAGTTATAATAATGAAGGTTGACAAGTCCCTAATTTAATGAACACTATAGTCAAGACACACTATGCTAATTTGTACAGTGGTAAAACAACTTGAAAGCTCTGGGGTGGAGCTTCTAATACTACTGTATAATAAATGGCAAGATGCTCCTTCAAATCCAAGCAAATATCATTGTATTTTCTCATGATTAAGGATTTACTTCACTATAAATAATATAATTATTTATGTTTATAAACCATCATAGAATTAACAGTAGTTTCCTGAGTGTATCATGTTTTGGTTCTTATTCTAACGTATTCCCACAATACTCACAGTCAATTTCTTGTAAAAGTGGTGATTAGACATCTTGTCCTGAAAATGTTACAGGTCAAACTGTTCTCAAACGTAAACCTAACATTTAATTGGGCACAACTCTATAAACTTAACTAGACAAAAGTAACCATCACTACTAAAAAATATCTAGGTAATTTTAGCGAGCAAGAGTAAAAGCTCATTATATGCAAAGCATTCTGGGATAGATCAATCATCGACACATCGCGCCAACATGCGCATGGCAGTGTAATGATGCATTTGTTGTAAACATAATTTAAGATCACAAGATTTTGATGTGCTTGTAAGAAGTTGGTGTTTTTCGTTGGTATGACCTAATTGTTAACAAAGTTCATTATGTCAGGATGCCTTTGTAATCAGGTGACCTGGTTTGGCTTTTGTTCAGTAGCATTGAATTGTGGGAAGACCATGGTTGAAAAATGAAAGAATAAACTTATCCAGCGTTGATTGATTGATTGTTGAAATTTGCATTGTCAAATCCTCTCAATTGAGGAAAATTTATTGGGGAAAAAACAACTTATGGGCATCTATTTCTAAACAATATATTGAGAACGGTTCACGTTATTTTGTTAATCCTTTCCTTCCTGGTTATCCTTTCCTGTACTTCTCCAATCTTCACAAGGTGATTCCAAATTCACAGGTACTCCAATGGTTCTATGATCCTTCTCATGTATTGTAGCGTGTACCAAAAAAAATTTCAAAAAGAAAGGAGAGAAATATTTATTGCTTATTTTGAACATGATTAGTATGCATTTTGCACTCCGATGGAAGTAATAGTCCTCTTGAGGGACATAAGGTCAGAGAAAATCAAAAGATTCATAAATAATTGCTCAAAAAAATAATTATAATTTGATTATTTATAATATTTATAGATAATTTATTTTATTTTTGCTTTTACTAAACTGTACTAAATAGTGCTTTCATATGCATTGATGGAAACGGTATTTATTTCCATTAATTGGCAACAAAAATCTACGGTAATCTAACTTACTTAAATAAAGAGTAAAACTAAATATAGAATTTCATAGTTAAGTTTTTAGACTTAAAACAGACAGTTATTACAGTTCATCTGGATTAAGTTTTATAATAACAGATTCTTAAAGACTGCCAATCCAAAATGATGGATTCTAATGTACTATCTATTCTCTCAATTTCCTCTTTAACCAGCCTTTATATAAACTGAGTAACTCTTATACCAGCCATTATTAATGTATAAATGTAGGGTGTGAACCGTTCAGGTCACTTTATCATGATGCCTTTCTCAGGGTTAGGCTATATTTTTTAAGCAATAAAGAGCTAAATATTGAAATAGAAATGAAAATTTCTAGTTTAAACTAATGAAAAGATTACAGGTAAGGCATAATATTTTAAAAATTCAATTTCATATACTGTAATTTAAGGGAAGAACAAAAATTTATTTTCAAATTATATAGTAGTCTTTATATATATTATAGTTTTTTTAATTATTAAAATTACGTCTATCTTAGGATAGTTTTCATAAACTTCTAAGTTTTATTCCTTGATGTAAAATGTAATAATTGA